TTTTATTTATCTCGTGCGCACGAGTTTCTGTGTCGTGGCCACGGGTTACTAAGTCGTGGCCACGAGATAGTTAAGTCGGGGAACGAGATAATATGTTGTGGCCACGAGTTACTAAGTCGTGGCCACGAGATAATTAAGTCGTGGGAACGAGATAACTAAGTCGTTCCCACGACTTAATTATCTCGTGGCCACGAGATAAATAAGTCGTTGGAACAAGTTACTATGTCGTGGCCACGAGAAAGTTTAGTCGTGGCCACGAGAAAGTTAATTCGTGCGAACGAGATAAATAACCAATCAAATAACACTATTTATATGAATTTTCCTAACAAGGATGCCCCTACTTCACTTGCCCGTAAAAGTGCCATTTATACAAGTTATTGATTGGTCAAAGATTTAGCGTCATTATGACCCTGATTTCTGACCAAATTGCCTAAAAATTATTAGGTGTCATCTACTGATCTTTTTAGGTTATATAAACTACGGCTTATTCTTTTCTAAATCATTCATCAGACAAGGATTTTACATGAAGTGTCATGTTTATCTGACCTGTGACCTCAAACATCCTTATATGATATCTACTGTCCATGGGTAATGTCCCTTCCCTATGAAATAAACCAGGACTAAGTCCCTCTCAAGTTATGGTATGAGCAATGTTAACAGGCCTTTGTACGTACAAAATGACCAATTCTTTCATAGAATTGTCCCAACAAAGGGCTATAACTTAGTCAAAAATTAATGTCTGATTTATGGGCCTTATGATCCTAAAGACATGTATTAAGCTCAAAGTGAACACTTCAGTATTTTCAAAGATTAATGTAGAAATTTTCTAAGTTTAAAAAATCATGGTGTAATCTGATTGGTTAATTATCTCGTCTGCACGACTTAGTTATCTCGTTCCCACGACTTAAACGACTTAGTAACTCGTGGCCGTGACATAGTTTCTCGTGGCTACGATATAGTATCTCGTTCCCACGACTTTACTATCTCGTGGCCACGACTTAGTAACTCGTGGCCACGACACAGTATCTCGTGCGCACGAGATAAATAAAAACACACACAAAATAAATATAATTTGGCTTCACACAAACATTGTGCTTTAAATCCTTTACACTGTAAGTGGGCAGTATGAATATTCATGTATAGTGTTATTACAAAAATATATATGGAAGTTTCTTTTAAAGACAGGCACAACTTTATTTGACCCGTAATAAGGAAAGCAGATTCCTATACATTATGTGTATGTGTTTTTCTTTAAATAAAACATATTTAGTAAGAATTTTATAGACTTCAATAAATTTCTGTGATAAAAATATATTACTAAAAGATGTGCATAGTATATCTTTAAGCACAAATGTATGTGAATGTGGTGGTGTGTGCGGGATGTCTGATCTATAATCAGACACACATATGCCCAACATTTATAATTGACTATGCACATGTCAGAAAAATAAACAACTTCCTTCTTTCCTTATTATACATGTATATTTTAATGTGTTACATACCTATCCGCAACTATTAGTGACTCTGAGACATTTATTAAGTTAAAAGGCCAAATAATAAGTTTTGCTTTTAATGTCCAAGTCATTAGATAAAGACCTTCGCAAGGCAGGTGCTTAACAACTGGATGACAGCATTATATGTTTTGATAAGGGAGTACACTATGACCACTATTGCATGAAACTTACACGTATATATTCCATCCCAGCTCATCAACGTATCTTTGGGGTAGGTGCAGCCCTTAAGCCAAGGCCTGAATCCGCCACTGTACGTATAACTGCCCCATTGAATAACTGTTTACGAGCATATTTTTTCTATTAGACTGTATACATATACATGTATAAAATTATATTGCATAATCCTTACTACTTGTATTTATATTCTTTCCACTGCAATTTATGTATTAAGCGCTTGGTACGTATTTATAGCATTGTCGCCCTCTGTATTTTAACGTATAACCACGATGGCCCTAACGGTATTCCGTAATATATACATGTACGGAAAATTCCGATGATAGGCGAATCATGGAAAAAATCCGTTGATATCGATAACAGAGTTCTCGCCCCTTAACAGTTGACAAATCGCTAGACATTGTTTAAATTGTTTATCATAATGTAAGATGATCAAACATAATCCACAAAGCCTCAGACACCGAGCTTTATTAAGCATAAACACTGAATAATGGATATAAGCGAAAGCTTATAGTAATCACGCCATGCGAGCTGTAAATCAAATAAGTCACATTTTAACAAAATCCACCAGGGAACAAAAAATAGTCAATTTTAAATGACTTTTACATAAAAGTAATACAAGAAAAACTAAACCGTAAATAGTTTGTATAGAGCATGAAGAAAGGTAGCTTATACATAAAGGTATATGACGTTAACATTTTAATATTCCAAATGGCTCGTTCCAGTTTAATAGTTATCACTTAATGAAAGAATTGGTTACTACGAAATGTTTGAATGAAATAATGAAAAATGGAATCCAGAATAATGCAACGTTTAAATATCATAAAGCAAGATGGAATCAATCATAATGCAAGTTCTAATGCCATGTAGCAAGATGGAATTAAGCATAATGCAAGTTCCAATGTCATCAAGCAAGATGGAATCAAGCATAATGCAAGTTCCAATGTCATCAAGCAAGATGGAATTAAGCATAATGCAAGTTCTAATGTCATCAAGCAAGATAGATTAAATGAATTAATTCTGTTCCATACAAAACAAAGAATTATGAATGTGAATAAGAAGTATGTGTCTAGATTTGTTTTGCTTTTGCGTTTTGGCAAACAACCTAAATTTTTCGTTCCCCCTTTTACCAAACTTAGAGTTCTAAAATTTAATAAGGGGTTTTTACAGTTTTTTAAAAAAAAAATTCCAAACTAAATTTCAATATTCTAAAAAGGGATTGAAATACCTACTAAGGTTAAAAACCGGGTACCTACTCATTTTCTATCAAATTATATTAAGTTACTTTGGATCTTATTTAATTATCTCTCGCTCAATTTGTATATCCTTTCATACTTAATCAGTAACGGTTTTCATTTTGGACACAGGAAAACAGAGATTATGTATTTCCAGATGCCCCCTAAAAGTGCTCAACAATATAACCAAACATAATGTTATCTCGCAATGCGTGCGGCCGCATGTACAGTAAATCTTTACTCAGTATTTTTCTAATGAATTTAAAGGGACTACTCAGAGGAAATGAAGTTATATTTATCCGGCTTATTTTATAAACTTGTACTTACTGACTTTAGGCTAAATAATCAGAGTGACAAGTAATATGTCGTTTGCATTTAAACTCAAACAAACAACACACAACGAAAGAAGTCAATGCTCTAGAGTGTGGACTTTTGTATTTATTTTTATTGATGATTTGTCATTTGCTTAATTATCATATCTCTGTTATAATTATTATTATTAAGGCAATCATTTTACTTAACAGGTTGGCGTATTTGCAAAAAAATAATATCACTGTTACCTCTAATGAATTGCATTAATAAAAGCTTGTTATTTTATAACCAATTAAATTTCATGAAGAAATAAGCATAAAATGTGATTGATTGATGTAATAACTGTATATGTTTCAATAATAATCAAGTTGAATGATAATACAATTTATATTCATTCTTGAGATAAATAGAGGATATTGAATGAGTGTACGTTCAATACTGAATTTATTGCACGAGTTGAATAATATTATATTATGCGAGCCTCTGGCGAGCATAATGTTATTTTATTCAACGAGTGCAATTAATTGAACTTACACGAATTTAATATTCTATTTATCACATACCCAAAATAAAGACCTTTATAGTGGAATAAGAGTCATTTTTCATTGACGCGCCTATAGTATAACACTAACATTTAGCGCGTCTTTACACTATGTTTGATTACGCTAATGACATCACGTCAAAATATATACACGGCCGTGCAATACCATATTTACAGAGTCGCAAAGTCGGCACGGGTGTGTGATAAAACTTGTTACATTAACTTAACGTTTTGTTAATAAGGTTTAAATATGGTCAAATAAAAAGAGATAAAGCAAATATATCATCAGCTAGAGATTCAACTAAGCGTTAATGACAAAGCAGTTTGTGCTTTAAACATATTTATACAAATCGTCACTATTTTCTTAAATTTCATAGCGAACAATTTCCACTGAGGTACATTTAAATTCACCTTTATGATCAAACATTACTTTAAGTTCAGGCTATATTTATTTAAGCTTTAATCTTTCTTAGTCTCATCTTTTATAACAGAAATCCAACTCATCAGGAAAACTTTACATATGCTTTAACTCATCATGTGTTTATTCACATAAACAAAAAAGCTCTCAACAAAAAAGTTAAAGCCATCTTTATTACGAGGACTAGTCTACATCTCCTTTTTAGTGGAAATATGTAATCGAATATTTGTAAACTTTACAATACAATAACAACTTTTTATCTAGATATAATTCACCCATAACTTACTGTTAAAGTATTTGTCCAAATATGAGGTTGAAACTTCCATTTGAAAATTTTTGGATTCCAAATAGAGCTTGCAACAGTATGTAACGGGGGCAAACTGCAGAAGCGTGCAGGCTAGCCTTGCTCTATACCTGCAAGCACGCAAAATGTTTATACTGACGGATAAAATGCAGCTTGAACATAACCGACTTATGCCTGAAGATGCAGACTCTGTACATTTCACCACTTCAGCTCAAGAGGACACTCGAACTGGTTATGAAATTGCCATTTTTCATTATCATCCATTATTGGTTTAAAAATTCGTATTACCGAATTCACAACGACGGTAAGCTTTGTTATTGCTTTGGTAAAGTATGTTGGACTATATAATGTACTCAGTATTGGATAGGTCAATAAAATAGGACCCATGTCATGGTCGTATAGAGTTGTTCTTGCACACAAACATAATAGCTTTCAACTCGATTAATACATGAAGACTAAAAAAATCATAAAGTTTTTTATCCTAGACAATAACAACGTAACATAATGTATCTCATTTATTATCAAATTTCATTCCATTTGTGTTTTATGTATGATAAGGAGAAAAGTGATAAGAATAGAAAAAGAAAGTTAAAATGAATTGCTTATTTTATCTTGGTTCTTTACTGTCGCCATATTTGTTGGTAACACTGGTTTTGGTCAATTGTTGTTTAAGTGTTCTTGACGAAATCATTTGGTACTAGTATGGCCTTGGGTACCGCTAAATAAAATCCGGTAAAAATATAAATTAACAAATTGTAGGTACATTTAATTTCATCTTTAATTGAATAAGACATTGAAATTAAGTATTAAATACAATTATAGAGATTTTCTTAAACAAAACTCTGTAACGACTCAATAACTGAATTCAATAAAATGTTTATTTTTGAATGTGTTTTAAATGATATACTTTAATGTCTTTGTTAATAACTGTATAGAGATAATAAAAGTGGGTAACTTCTCTTAAAGATATACTGTGCTCATCTCCGACTAAAATACTTTTATTGCAGAAATTTATTGAAATTATCAACTTCATATTGAATATGTCTAATTAAAATTAAAAAAGCGTACAAACTATATATTGGAATCTGCGTTCTTAATACGGGCCAAGTAATGCTAATCCTCTGTTAAAATATATTTATAGTGGTTCCACTTTGTATGAAGTCAGAACATGCATATCTTATATTTACAAAAAGACTGTGAAGCAATTATCAAAATTTTCCAATATCATATTTGAGCAAAGTATATGTTTAAGTAGGTTTATTAATTTATAAAGAAATAACATCGTTTCACTGAAAAGGCGTATTAAAGAAAGAGAATCAAAACTCACTCCTCCTCCTCCTCCTCCGCCGCCGCCGCCGCCGCCGCAACATCTGAGAAGTCGGTAGGGGTATCTTCTACAGTACCCACAGAAACGAGTGCCATATCGACAGGTGGTATAACAGTCACCATATTGAGCTGAATAGATAAAGATTTGCATTGCTTCTTATATAAGCTAGGTTTCCGTAAATGCAAATAGATTAACAGTATCATTACAGTATATAAATAGTGTGCTTGTTTGATTGGATTTTACGTCACACCGACACAGTCAGGGTCATATGACGACCTTCCAGCTTTACTGATGGAGGAAGACCTCAGGTGCCCTTCCTTGCATTATTTCAGGCATGAACGGGCACCTGAGTTGAACTACCGACGTTCCGTAAACTAGCTGGATAGCTTCCTCATATGAAAGAATCCAAAGCCCCTGTCGGCATTAGAACCCAAAGCGGTGAGGAGCCAGTGGTTGTATTTGAAGTTAACGATCTTAACCACTCGGTCACGGACGCCCCTGTATATAGTTAGAACATACATTTATAAAATCAGATATATGGACAATTGTCCGTTTTAAAGTTATTGTGGTGTAAATGGCGACAACCAAGATTAGCGACAGGTTTTCTACTCTTCTTTATACGTGTCCGGCTTTAATGCAATTATAGATATCTTTTGGTGAAATTATCGTAATCTGTAGAAAAGAAACAAATAAATGCTCCTGTAACTAATACGTGTCACCAAAACAGGACGATTCATTATTTTATATTCTTTTGTCAATATATACGTTTTTATGAAGTTTTTTATTCTGTGCAGTTCAATGAATTACATTTTTATTATGTAATAATTCTTCAGTAATGAAAAGTGTATGTTTTTCTTCCTTTCTTATTGTATAACCAAAAGTTCATATAAACAATTTACCCCTTTCTAACTCAAAGCGGAGATGGGGAAATCTTAGCTAGTGACTTTAAGCATTGTGCAGCGGACATCCCAAACAAAACTGATATACATCAACAATTGTTTGAAGTATTATTAAAAATAAAAATAAAGTGTATTTACTTTTGTATATAGATGTACTGTTTTGGTTTTCAATAAATTATTTTACATACCTTCAGCAAATTCAGGCAGAATTGTAATCGCCAAAAATCCCACTAGAAATAACAGCATCAATAGCTTAGCCATTTCGTCGATGTACTTGTAACAACGTAGAATTGAAAAATTCTGGGATGTTATGTGTAAATTTCTTAAATGCCTTAAGACTTATATATATTATATACTGTACCTATGTCATTATGTGCGAGTATAGTTTTAACCTTTGAAACATTTTTAACAAATTTCTGATTGATGATTTATCAAACCGCAAAGGAATTAGTAATTTTTTTAATGATAGAAGAGCATGCATAGAATATATGTGTTTTGATGAATAAATTATCATTCAAAGTAATTTAGCTTATGTTTTGTAAATATACATTTTTATTATGCCTGGTAACATGGTGGCCATTTTTTGAACTCCTATCAAAGTTGTAACTGTAAAAGTTGATTTGCACCCCGGGACTAGATACCCATATTTGCCCAGTTTCTGAGTATTGGTTCTTTTATCTTAGCGGATGCTTTCAGCCATAAGAAGAAACCTTAGCACAGAAAATAAAGCATTTTCGGTATTCACAACCAAACATTGAAATTATTCATTACAAGCATTATAAGCTTATTTTATGGAAGGACTTGTTTCGAACAGGCACAACACTTCTTGTCTGCTGGTGTTAAAATAGATCTTAGAGAAAATTATGAGTGGACCCATTACGATCTTAGAAGCTACTGAATATACAGACTCGATCTAAGACAATTTCGCTATAATTATCTTATCTATATTTATTGCCGATTGTTGACCGTTCATGTTATGGACATTGTCGGAGACCTATCAATGATTTGCGTGTCCAGTTCACTAACAGTTTGATCGGTATGCTACTAACAGGTTAATAAAATTGGACAAAGCATAATTATGTTAAGGTTCACAAAAGCAATGCCATTTTTCTGACATGTATATTTGTATTAATATTTGCATAATTTGGGCATGTTATTATTGAAACGCTTTTTAACGGCACGCACTCATATTAAAAACTCAGAACTAAATGTGATTTTTCTATGTAGAAAAGGTACAACTTTTCTCTTAAAATGATTTTAAAGTGGATTTAAAAAATGTTCAGAAGAGTAAACGTTAGACGAGTATGTGATATATTAATATGTGTTATTAAAGATTAAAAAATTAGGTACAAAATACATATCCATACAAAATAAGTCACTGAAAAGCAGAAGATAGTTTAGAAATATGGACAATGATGACTGTTTTCGAAACTATTATTGGATATCAAAATGATATGAAAATGAGCCGTGTCACGACAAAACCATCATAATGGGTTTGCGACCAGCATCCGCGCAGTCTGATCAGGATCCATGCTGTTCGCTTACAAACCCTATAACAAATAGAGAAACTGATAGCGAACAGCATGGATCCTGATCAGACTGCGCGGACGCGCAGGCTGGTCTAGATCCATGCTGGTCGCAAACCCATTATTTTGGTTTTGTCATGACGCAACTCAAATGATGAAATTTTTAGGGATAAATGGATCTGTAAATATTAACCAAGGTTTATATCATTTAAAGAAAACTGTGACTGACAGAAACAAGGAAAGTGAATTGATTATTTATCTACTCTTTATCACACAATGTACACTATGTGCAGCTATAAATATACTGATTTTTATGTTGTCTTAACTCTGTAACACACATTATAATAGTAACCTTATTCAGAGCAAGCGGTGTTGTTGTCATAAAACGCTTATTATTTAGAAACAGGGAGTAATTATTTAGAAACAGGGAGTAGTTATTTAGAAACAGGGAGTAATTATTTAGAAACAGGGAGTAATTATTTAGAAACAGGGTGTAATTATTTAGAAACAGGGAGTAGTTATTTAGAAATAGGGAGTAATTATTTGGAAACAGGGAGTAGTTATTTAGAAACAGGCAGTTATTATTTAGAAATAGGGAGTAATTATTTAGAAACAGGGAGTTATTATTTAGAAACAGGGAGTAATTATTTAGAAACAGGGAGTAGTTATTTAGAAACAGGGAGTAATTATTTAGAAACATGGAGTAATTATTTAGAAACAGGGAGTAATTATTAAGAAATAGGTAGTAATTATTTAGAAACAGGGAGTAATTATTTAGAAACAGGGAGTTATTATTTAGAAACAGGGAACACCGGAATGGAACAAAAAAGTAATGTGTTTGAGAAATTAAAGTAATATCGTTTTGAGGCAAATGAGATTTTAGGCTGTTTAATCCACATATTTATCAATACTCATAAGGCGCTACAGGATAAATACACAATTGTTGTAAATGATGTTATGTTGTTTTGTTGTTGTTGTTGTTGTTTTTTT